ATGAAAGCATGAGTCGCTTTGGCCAGCGCGCTAGGAGGCTCACGCAGCCGAGTACCCTCCTACACATTTGCAATTTGCCCATCTACAATGCGCCAGGAGAAAAGTAAAATCGATGAAATTCTCACGAACAGGGCGTGATTCTACCAGCAGTGGCAGCCGGCGCGGCCTCAGACTTTCAGCGACCGCCACAAGCTTGGCAAGAACGGGCTGACCCAGCTCAGCATGCAGCTTGTAGATACATCCTTTTGTCTAAGGTAACGATTTCACTTTTGCACTGGTCTTGTAGTGGTTTTGTGGGGTCACGAAGGGTGAGGCAATAAGGCTTGAAGAAGAAATTTAGCGATGTTCCAGTGGGTCGGCGCTGAACCAAGCTGCTGTAATAATGAGCATCAGTGCTTATAGCATGTGATTTATGGTTTAAGGTGAAGCACTGCACTGCTTGCAGAGCATCTACAGATTCCTTGAGGTAAACTGATTTAATTTATTATTCCAAACGCAAAACGCTTACTAGCCGCGTTAATCTTCAGGAGACGCAGAAAGCCACCGCTGTTGCTTCTGCTCCTGCTGCTGGCACCGCACCAACGGCGGTCCACGGGCAACTAGATCCACGCACAATGTCCTGCATTTGTGTGTTTGCCATAGCGAACGCTGTTGTAACGCTCGGGCGACGTTACTCAGCTCGACGGTAGCACTGATACCGCGCGCGAAACGTTTATCATGTGCGCAATGAGTACAGGCAAAATAGAGCACGATTACACTGAACAGACCTAGATGCACGTATTTTCCGGACAATTCACGGATGCTATTCTCTTTCTTAGCCTCTCTCACGCTGCGCCATGCTCTCGGGACACAGCCTTGATTACAGAGCACCTGGTGTTGCCTTGATGCTTTGCCTGAAGGTTCATGTTTGGGACAAGCACTTGTGCTGCTCACGTCGTCTTCAGTTTGGGACTCCATTTTTCCTGCAGAAGCAATAACGCTGCGACCAGCGACAATGATACAGAGAGACAGGATGAGAAGGGCAGGAGCGGCTGCGTTCTTCCAGGTTAGGGTCACAAGGGACCGTGCGCGCTCCAAAATACCCTTGGTCCAGATGTTGGGGTTTGGGTTTGATTCAGTTGGGCCCTTCGTCAGACTGCCTGCTGATGCGGGGGTCGTGAACGGTAACGCTGCTGCTGTTACCGGGGCACCCGTGGAAGCCACAACCAACGAGTTCCGATCATTCTCAAAAGAGCTCCCATAGCCCGAGGCCGCTTTTATCATGGCCAGGGAAAGCAACAGAGGAAAAGCGAGTCGCATTTCAGCAGCCGTCGGGTTTGGCTGTGCGAAAAGGGAGATTAGTGACTTAGAAGGGCGATGATAATGAACAAGTACCAACTACATTGCTTAAATGAACAACATGGAAAATGACGATAACCACTTATTTTTATGCAAGCAGTAGCGGCCGACGGTATAAAACCCAACAGACTGCCCGTCCCTGCAGGACCCCGTAGCCTTGACCGTGTCCTAGCCTCTGCCGATTGGAACAGCTGTTTCTGCATTCATAATTTGTTGTAACTTCACCTTGAATTTAAGTCGATTTTATTTTTTGTAGAAGTACTTTTTGTTTCCTTGTTCGTAAATACTTGGAAAGGGTAAATTTGCAACTTCACCTGATGCTCGCACTTGATCAGGAGACAGTCGGCTCCGGCCAGCGCTAAATGAGCAAGGGCGTATGAGCTTCAGATAAAGCGGTAAACTAGAAAATATCATGGTCTCTAGCAGAGATCCATAAGCAACGTTACAGGACAAGATCCCCATTCCCCTTCAGCATCACCGCAACTGAGCGATGGCTGAAGGTGTGCATCTACGCAACAACCTGGTGGTCCCAAACATTGTAATTTTCCGGCAATTACGCTCTAAACACCTATTTTAATACTTTCATGAATATGTGCCTGCATAATGTGGCAATTCAAGGTGCAAACACGCACAAGAGTAACAAAATAGTAGCGTGTGCACGTCTGCCGGTGGTTGCATTGAAATCGAACCCTTTTAGGCGGTCAATCATTCTTAAAGGGGTCACTGTATGCGCAGCAAGATAAACTGTGTTGTATTCTAGAGCTGTTCACCTTAGTTTTCCAGCATCTGCTCACAAACAACGAATTGAGACCCAGTGAGGCTCTACGTTTTCGAAATTGAAGGAACCGCCCAGAATCAGCGCCAATTGCTTTTGTTCCTCGTCTACGCGCTCCAATGCACAGAAGTGTGCTTAGTTATTTGAAAAGGAGGCGAAGGTGCCCGACGCCCCACCGTGTGCCCATCAAATGCAATATGAACACCAGAGCGATCGCAGCTCAGTGAGCTGTCTTCAAGAACAGCAAAAAGTGCGGCATTTCTATGGTTCAAACGCGCTTGAAAATACATATTACTTAAGGCGTAGTAGAATTTCCTTGTATTTAATGGGAAAGTTCAGCAACCGTGAGTTATTCGAATGACATACACTGTAGCAGAAGCACGTAGTGTCTACAGAGGTAACGTCACTTTCATCCCGAGGCTTTCTCTACCGATTTCTCTACCGGAAAGATGCCACCGTGAGGAAATTTCACATTACTAAGCTATTTTGGGGGGGAAATACCGGGTTACACTCAACTGGGCGCTGCAGGTGCCCACTAACTTTTTCCGTAAGTTTACGCAGTTGCCAGTAATGTTCGCCTGCATATATCTACATGCACGTATCAGTAAATGTCCTTTTATCAGGAAAAAAAACTGTCTGTACTTCGTGACTACCCAGACATACTTTCTTCGACGTTTGGCAGTTGGTGTCGGCAGCGTTGTCGAGAGCACAGAAAAATAGGTTTTTTTTCACTGCTTTTCCATTCTCGATGAGAAATGTTAGGTCAAGAGTTTGGCACCGCTATGACCACAAACATGGAAATACATGCTGGAGAAGTAGCGCAATGCGGATGCGTTTTAGAGATTCCATAAGCAGACCACGATTCCTGCCCACTGAACAGCTACGACATGCACTGCAAGCCCCAGGCAGCTGATGGCTACCGCAGATGGAGTTAAACAGAGCTGCATAGCGTACCTCCCCCCCCTCTCGTTTTCGTCTCTCAAAACCCTTGGACAACGGACATCTCTTGAGTGCGTCTGCCACACCAAAGGAGAACGACTGTAGATTGATCAAAGGGTCTAGTGACTTCGTGACAAGGGCTTGCAGGCTAGGCTTCGGTTCCTGCGTTGTGCAGACGTATCTGCAGCCAATCCAGGGCCTCTGAAGAATCGCTGCGCGCTTGCCCACCTCTGCTCTGCGGGGTCTGTGAGGCACTACTGCAGCGGCACGTTGCCGCAAGCAACTAAAGTTTCGTACTTTGGAGCAACAGCTGAGCGTCACGCCCAGCCTTCGAAGCAGCACAAAACTACTGTCGTGCTTGGCTTGGCTCAACCGAGGCGCAGTCACAGCGAAGCCGCAGAGCTGATACACGCTGCCAACGGTACCTCAGAGACGACTTCTAAGCACGCTGGGACTAAAGCTGTTGGGCAGCTGATTCCGACCCACCGCAGAGAGTTTTCCAAGGCTCCACAGTTTAGGGTTACTCGGCAGACCAACTCGGCCTTTGTTCGGAATAGTACCCGACGCTGTACCCGCAACTACAGCACACTGACCCCATCTAAAGGCACCAAGGGGAAAAGATCCAATCTATCCCCCCAACGTAAGTTGACGCTCAGGAGCTCTAGGCCAGCTACTACACCGCATGCGGCCCGGAAGGGCACAGAGTAAGGAGCGACTGTGTAAATGGCTGACCCTACAAACACTGACGCGTGAACTGTCCTTAATTAATGAGCAGCAACACCTCCTTTTCAGTAGGCGAAGTACAACAACCATATAAGGCGGCAAAGAGAAAGGATGTGCTCCTACAGTCGTTCCCATACTAGCGTGTGTTCCTGGCGCAGCTAAAACTCTAATTCATCACTTTCAGCTTCTGAAGGAGACCGAATTGAAAGCGCGGCAGAATCAGTGTCCGCCTGCAAGTTTTCCGTGTATGCACAGTTCGCTTTAATGCAGGGATAGCGCCTGCGAATGTGTGGGAAACCCTGTTGCTCTTTTTCCTACATGACTTCAAGATTACGCAGCAAGACCACCTGCAACAGAGAACCGACGAAACGTGCTTTTAAATCGTGCTTAAAGGACAGGATAAGTTATAGTTAACGATGGGAGCCTACCATGTCTTTCTATTTGACCTCGTTTTTGTTTCGTACGGTCTAGGAAGCGTAGTAAGAACAGAAGGCGTCTGCACGGCGCCACAGGATAGACGCGCGCGAGCCAGCCGGTGAGCTCCGGAACACAATAATGTAAATTGAAGCTCGTTTTAAAGCCAATGGGGAATTTTACAGTTTATTAAAGCTGCTCCTTCAGACTCTCTAGCAGTGGCTACAGGGCAGGTCTGCATGCACGTCGGCCCAGGTCAGCTGATGCGAACGGCCGCTGCAGCAGCTGCTGTCCTCGGGTCTAAGTACACCTCTTTGTATTGAACGCATCTCGTCCAGCAGGCGCTCCACCAGGCGCCAGACGCGACGAGATCAACAGCTGCCTCACATGAGACTGCAAGGAGCAGCAACACCACTTAAGCAGTGCGCCGAAAGGGTAGAGACGTGAACTGGATGTTTATTCATGGTTGCTAGCTAAAGATCTCATTTCCTACATAAGCAGCGCCTGCGGCAAAATCTACTGCAGGGTCGCTAGCAACGGCAAGCTGTCTGCATAACCGACGAGTTGCATTGTGACTCTGCATAGAACCGCGCAACGGCAGTATGTGTTGCAAGCATTCAAAAGTCGCAATAGCAAGCATAGCAGCGGGAAACACAGCAGCAACGCGCTGACCTCCCAATTCCGCCCACTGGATGTGGCTGCGGATGTTCCTGAAGCTACAAGCAACCCATGAAGCAGCAACAGCTGCTGCAACGTGCTGCCGATCCCTGAAATTGCGCTTTTTGACGCTGATGAGCTACACGTAAGGACGATGGAGGTTCCCGACCCTCACCTCCAAAAGCAGCAAGATCGGGAGCAGCAGGGAGTGGAAGTGCAAGAAAAGCAACGAAGAGAGCAGCAGCGGCCGCTGCTCCAGCAGCAACAACCTCCACCTACACTGAGGCCAGCTGAAAGAGGTGCTGGTGAACCCACGGCGACGAAGCAACACGAGCAACAGAAGTTGCAACATCAAGGGCAACAACGGCACGAGCCCCAGCAACAGAAGCCGCAACTGCACGACGAGCAGAAAGAAGAGAAAGGACACCAGCAAGAACACCTGCAGCAGCCGCAGCAGCAGTCTGTGCAAGGAGAGGGCATTGCATCGCCATGCGCTTCTAAAACGGAGAGCGAAACAGCCCGTCAGCAGAAACAGCAGCGGTGGCAGGAAGCAAAGCAACTGGAACAGCAGCAACAAGAATGGCAGAGTCATCAAGATCTTCAACAGAATGGTCCAGCTGCGCTCCAGCAGCATGCTGCTGCCGGCGCGGAGAAGCAGGAGCAACTTGCCGGCGCCCCAGATTCTGAAGCCGCCGCAGCCTCACCGAGTGCGAGAGTAAGAATTGGTGAGCCCGCGGCGGCAGCAGGCCCAGACGGTGCAGCAAGAGCCAGTGCAGAAGACACAGGTGCAGAGCTGACGCCAAGAGCATCAGCTGGCCTAGGGCATTCCGTAGTACTGCCACGGGATCCGTCTCCAGAAGCACCGGCACCGACAGTGGGGGGAGGCGCAGAATCTTCGTGGCGACATGGTTCGGATAGACGGGCAACATCGGCGCAGCTCACAGCTGGTGCAGACACAGAAACGGCATCTACACTCTCTGCTGCTGCAGCGCCACAAAAGTTTTTGCGTTCCACACAACTTTCGGTAGGGCGTAGTGTGCATGCAGCAGCAGCAGTAGAAGCACTAACATAAAGGAGCTTTCCCCAGGCATTCTCAGCAGCAACTACTACTGCAGCAACTCTACTCAGTGTACTGTACGCAGGATACGCTGTGGAGACCACAGCCTTCGCCTCCCAAAGAGGTTGACGAGCAGCGAGTGCAGCATTCCAAGCAGCAGCACCAGCAGCAGGAGCAAACTTCGCACCCGCAGCAGCTGCACGAACAGCGAGCAGTTCACCGTGGTGTTTATTCCCCCGGTAGCGTCAGGGCAAGCAGCAGCGGCAGTGCCTCAACAGCAATAGCCGCAGCATCCCCAACAGCAGGCAGGACTAGCGAGCACGCTCATCTAAACTCTGCCTTTGTGCGCACCTCTACTGAGAGACGTAACCAGCAGCAGCAACAGCAGCAACAGCAGCACCGACAGGCGGCGCCGCAGAGAGCCAATCTTTCCCTTGTTGCTCCCATGCCCTGCAGCGGCAGCAAAGCAGCGGCAACAAGCACGCTGCTACTACAGGGATGGTTGCAAAAGTGGACGAACCTTCTGTCCTCATGGAGACCCAGGTCTGCTATAAATCCTTGATCGTCAAGGTTGCTGTGTGCCGTCGTCATAGTGCCAGATAAATTGTCGATTTCTCAGGCCCAAGTGTTTGGATGAGGCGCCCGAAATTTTTAGCGAAAGATGGCATTGGCAACAGCGTGGCATGTGGTTCTGGTTTCAGGGCCTACATTGTACGGCTTAGCGTATGTTGTGTTTATGGCAGGTACTTTTTCGTGTACGCGGGTTTCTTCAAGTACAGTACCACTAAGAGCTCCCCCCCCAAAGAGATGTTTCTTTTGAATCAGTGTCGCGTCCGGCTCTGCCCCCGTCAGCCTGACCCCTGAAAGCTAAGCCCTGCTTACAACTGAGGACACGACTAGCTGAAACTTGCGCTTGCAGACCCTGCTGCTGAAATTGGTACCATTGTCACATTAAGGACGTCATTTGAAACTAGCTCACATTGTCTTGGAGTGTGGTAACATATTTTGGTTTGGAATCTGTTGCTGTTGCAGATGACCCCGTACGGTTTGAAGTGGATGTAGTAGATCAGCAGACGCTTTACCTTCGAGCAGAGAGCCAAGAGGAGAAACAGATGTGGTATGCGCACCAGGATTGAAGCGTTTATAGTTCATGGCTGAGGATTTGAGGCCTCAGGCTCAGGAAATATGGGTTGCATTTCGGCGTGTAGCATCAAGGGTTGATTTCTCATGGCCTAAGTTTGTTCTTCACGGTTCAGGAACTTCAAGGCTGTAAATTGAAGGCTGAAGGGTGAAGCGTGCTGCTCACAGCTTCACGCCTACGGTTGAAAGCTCGAGAGCTAATGTTAACATTTTAGGGCATGGAGCTTGTTTCTAGGGCTCCGCCTTGAACATTGAGGGTTCAGGGGTTTTAAACTTCTAGTTTTCGTGCAGGTATGCGGCCTTCAAGCAGGGCCAAAGAGCAGCCCTCAGTGGCGCCAACCGAGCAGGTCGTTCAGCAGCAGGAGGCGGATCCCAGAGGGACAAGCAGCAGCAGCAGCAGCAACAGCAACTGCACAGAAGACTCCCAGGAGATGCTTCTGTAGAATCAAGGCCTCCTTCAATGCCGAGTAGCAGCAGTAACAGCAGCAGCAGCAACAAGAAACCCGCGCGTCTGGAGCAGCAGCAACAGCAGCAACCTCCACGCCAGGACCGCTCCACTGCGGCAACAGCAGCGGCACCTGCATCATCATCAGAGTTGGCAGCTGCTTCCACTACCGGCAGCGCCAGCAGCAGCAGTAGCGGCTCCCTGAGCGGGTTGGCAGGGGTCGTGGCATCGAGTGCTGCTGCTGCTGCTGCCTATGCCACCAGCCGACTCCGCTCTTTTTCTGCTGCTGCAGTACAGCAGCCGTCTGTGCCACCAGCGCTAGCACCCCCGCCTCCACACAAGCCTCCGTGTCAGCAGCAACAGCAAACGCAGCAACAGAGGCAACAAGAGCAGCCAGTACCGCAACAGCAGTCGGGGGATGTCCGCTTGAAAAGTGAGGAAGCAGCAGCAGCGGGAGCAAGGGCCGGCACATGTGCTGCTGCTGTGCTTGGGTCTTCCGTGGACGTGCCGGCAAGCAGCAGCAGCAGTAGCAGCCCACTGCTGCTTGCTCACGCCTCTCAGGAGGGAGAAGGCAACGCTGCCTTGCTCGACGCCACGGGTGCTGAGGGGCCTCTGGTGTTGCTGTTAGAGAGCATCATCGGTGCGAGGCAGACCATACAGGCAAGTATGAGCCTTACGTTCTGACATCCAGAGCAGAGGTTATAATGCCTACACTGTGAACTCTGGTTGCGTCTATTTGATAGTGTTCTTGGTGGGGTGGCCCTTCTAGTCCTTTTTTCCGTGGGAGGTTTTGAATTAGTCGGGTTTGAATTCTTGGAGGAATAACTGTCACAGTTTAGGGAGTCTGCTTTCGTGGTGGCAGGAGGCATGCTCGAAGATCTTGGCCTTGCAGTCAGATGTCTTGAAGTCTGCATCGCAGATATCTCAAACGGGTAGCTCCTGCTGGGCTGCACCTGCTGCTGTCTCCGTTGCTACTTCCGTCGCCACTACTGCATATTCGCTTTTGCTGTTTTTACTCACTTCTGATTGTTAGGGGTATCTGTTGTCGCGTGTGCTAGGGAGATTAAGAGCGAGTGAGTAGGTTTCGCTGGTTTTCGCAGGCCCTGCCGCTAATGGCAACTTGCGCCAGCAGGTGGCGCTGCTGCTACAGCGAGTAGATGAGCTACAGCAGCTGCTGCAACAGCTTCTGCAGCAGTGGGAACGGCTGCTGAGCGAAGAGTACACCCAGAGGCGGCAGCTGGAGAAGTCGGTTCGGTCTTTGGCGAAGAGAAACTACAAGCTCGACAAGGTTCGGAACTCAAAGCCGCTGACCATAGATCATAAACCTAAAATGACACATCTTGAGTCAAAGACAGTGCCGGTGCCTTCGGCCGTTCAAGCCTGGCACAAATTCACAGTGCTTAAGACTCCGAGTTACTGTTTTGGGTCTAGAAGGGACTCAGGGCAACAAAATACGCTTTACGCTTTGGTGTGGTCGTTCAGGCCCAAGAGAGGCTTCTACAGCTCAGCAGACAGCGTGGCAAGCTTACAGCAACGGAAGTTGCCGCAGCAATCGCTGGTGTGCGGCTTCCAGATGTGGAGGGACACGGGACAGCAACTGCAACAGCAGCAGCGACAGCAGGGGCGACGGTAGCGGAAGACGGGGGAGGCTTCAGCACCAGCGACAGTGACGATGATGGCAATGATTCACTTGAATTTTTCGACTGCGATGAGGATGTGCGCTAGGTTATATGGCTAGAGACGCAGGGGATTTGTGGTCCGGTGTTGGAGGTTTCCTACTCGGCGTTGCCGCTTCTGGTGCTGTTGCTGTTGTTTGCAGTTTGCAGAGATAGGTGGAGGGGAACCTGCTGGTGACTGTGCTTCACAACAGCACAAGCAGGATCAGCAGCAGCAACAGGAGCAGAAAACGCCTGAGGAAGGCACCTCAGCGTTAACAGAAGCAGCAGCAGCAGCAGGAAGTAGCCAGGTCACCACCAGCAGCAGCTACATCGGTCCACCCTTCTCTCCAGCAACGAACGCAGCAGCAACGCTGGCAGTTTCCTCGTGCCACATGGGGGGTGCGGCCGCTGGACAGCGGTTGGCACTTGCAAAGCCGCGAACTGAATTCAAAGTAAAGCATGAAGTCTAGGTGGCACAGTCGAGAAACTAGACTATTTCACGAGTAATTACTTATATCTAGGGCTCATCTTGCGGACGGTGAAGGGATTGTTCCTTCGTTCACGTCGTCCTTCTTACGTGACTGGTGGTTATCTTCTGTGCATTGTAGTTTGCATTTACATTGCAGCGGCTAGGTTGTTCAGAGTATGGTTTGGCGTGTGCGTGTGCAGGTTAATCTGTGGTCAGTGCTTAAGGACTGCATAGGGCGTGACCTGAGCCGCATCGCAATGCCTGTCTACTTTAATGAGCCCACCAGCTTTCTACAGAGACAGTGTGAGGACTTACAATACGTTGATCTCCTTAATCTAGTGAGTGGATAATACGGTCTGTGGTTTGAGGCTCAAGCCGCAGTGTATAGCGCTTTGTTGCTCAAATTCCCCATCCTATAGACTTCGATACACGGCATTACAGTCAGGGTTCGAACGTTCATCGTTAGAATCTTGGAGATATGACCTGGTGTATAGTGTATATATCAGAATAACAGAGAACTATGGAAGAACGGGGACTTCAGGAGGTGCACCTGGAAGATTGTGCGAAAATTTGAATGCTTTTATGGGTTTAGGGCACTAAATCATCGGGCCTACGTTTTAGGGGTGCAGGGGTGAGGCTTTATATATGCGTTTGTGTATTTTAGTCCTCCCGCTTTCCGCGAAGTGTCGATCGGCTTCTTGGGCTGACTGTCTTTGCGCTTTCTCCATACGCATCAGCAGTCGGCAGGTCATGCCAAGCCCTAAAGCGTACAGCAATAAATTATCAAGTGGTTTGGTTTTTAGACCTAAGTCTGGAGACACGTATAATGAACGATGTAGATTAGTCGCTAAAAGTATACGGCGAATGGCCACCCACCCCTTGAAGAGCAAGCAGCAACTTTCACATTCAGGTTACAGGATGTAAAAACGGCGGTTCGGAATTTGTGTCCATTACTTTTGCACATAGGACGTACAAACCCTTCAATCCACTTCTTGGTGAAACATTCGAGCACATTCACAGAGGTTTTCGCTTCCTATCGGAGCAGGTGAACGGACCTGGAATGCTCAAATCGCTCCCCGTCACACTGTGATGTAGTCTTATTGAGAGCTGTTCGCGTCATGCTGGCAACTGCTGTAGCGCCAGCTGCAGTAACGCTAACAGCGGCAATATTTGCAGATGCAAGGGCAGCTGTAGCGGCAAATGGAAAGTGGGAAGCCCATCAACTCCAGCATCACCGCAGCTAGCAGCTGCAGCAATGAGAGCAGCTACAGCAGAAGCTCTAACCCCCAAAAGCAACAGCAGTAATATTGTTTGTGTCTGCTGTCTTTGTAGGTTGGCCACCATCCTCCTATTACCGCCTACGTGGCGACCGCCTCCGAGTACTCTTGCGAGGGCTGGGTGACCGTGAGGAATCGCTTCTCCGGGAAATCGCTTGAGGTACTGGAATGCAAAACCTTTTACGATATGCTTTGTAAACTGCTGCTAAAAGTGATCAAAACCCATGTAGCTCAATGAGCAACATGAAGCGGAGTTGCCTTCCGTAGTTGCTAGGTTCTTGCTTTCAAGGTCTAGACCTCGAAAGCCAAGGACCTCAGTTTGGGGTGTTGGGATTATTTGAGCATGGCTGTGCAGGTTACGATGCCCGGCATAGCTCGCGTGACGTTCCGTCGAACGGGCGAGCGGTTTTCTTACAAGCGCATCAAAATGTTAATCCACAACGTCATCTGGGGCAAGCTGTGGATTGAAGTGTACGATGGCGATATGCGACTTAGGGTTTGGTGTTTACAGCCTTAGCGTACTGTTAAGGCCTATGGTGTACAGTTAGATCTTCGGCTCCAGGCATTTTAGTTAAATCTAGGCTCCCAGAGATAATGGCTTTTGGCTGTGTAGTACCTCGTTTAACGGTTTTTTGTTCATTCGCCAAGCGTACGCTGACGGCTTACAGTCTAAAGCTTGCTTGTGGTTGTTGCAGTGATGGGACAAGTCTTGTCCAAAATGAAACCTCCGGGGACTTCTCGGTAGTGCAGTTTTTACGGAAAGGATGGCGAGCAAACCCTTACATTCACGCCCTTAAAGCACCAACATAGACTGCAATCGAGAGCTCTTGTGCAGCAAGAGCCTCCTCTGCCGTCATTTGCTCTTTTGTTAGATTTGGGCTCAAAGGTTTAGGGTTTGAGATATTAGTAATGAGACATTGGGCTCAGGTTGGATAAGACTTGCCATCATCTCCGCGCAATCATCTTTGACGCATCAGGGAGGCCCGCTTACCGTCTCTCAGGTGATCTTAAATTTTACGCCCGAACCCCCTGAATCCTAGCCCTTGAGATCTTACTGAGGCTGGGTTCTGCTCGTTTTTCACTGCACGCTTTATATGCATGCATGCCGTCGTTAGCTTTTCACCCTGTGGGGTTCAGAGGATGGAGCCTGGTTTTGTAATGCAGGGCAGTGGTCCAGTGCAATATATGTCGAGGAGGCACCCGCCTTCCCACCGCATAAAAAATGGAAAGTCCCGCCGCAGGTAGGGTTTGAGGGCAGCGTCTTGAGGTTACTCTGGGAGCCTACGATTATGCGTTTTGTGTTCCAATTTTTGGAGCGCTTGGTTTACGTGCCTTCTTAGGTAGAAGAATTCCGAAGAAGCGAAACAGGGCCTCCGGCGGATAGTCCAGACAACCAACTCGACGCTGTCATTACCCGTAAGTTTCCTAGTCTGTTGCTAAATAGTTCAGGGCCCGAGGTTTAAGATTTTGGATTCAAGCTGGGTTTAGCCGTAGCTATTCAAGGTTTTGGGCTTAGGATGAACAGTTTACGATTTCAATGCAGAATACTGGGAATCGATTGCTTGGGTCGAATCTTCACGACGTCTAATCTGGCGGCCAACAGCGCGACCTCCAAATGCGGACCAGTTCTACGGATTTGGGTATATAGCATTCATCCCTTGTTCCAATACGAAAGCATATGACCTGGGCGTATCCTTAAGCTTTCTAAGGAAACCCTTGCCGCAAAGCACTCTAGGCAGAAGGATTACAATTTACTTTCCCTCCAGCCTGTTCGTTCATCCGCAGGCTGTCTTTTCAAGAGCTTAGGGTGAAGGCCCGAGGGTTTGTGGCTTTAGGTACTTTACAATGGAGCTAAACGACCTGTCGCCAGAGTACGCTGAGCATGCAGCACCAACTGATTCCCGCAGGCGACCTGACCAGAGGCTGTATGAGGAAGGGCGAGTCGATGAGGCTGTGCAACAGAAGAACAGACTCGAAGAAAAACAGAGGTCTGAACCCCTTCTCAGAACGATTATTTAGATGCCGAGCTCTCGTTTCTGAGTGAACTGAGAGTTAGTTCATCATGCTAGCAGTGAAACTTCACTAGCCGTAGTTCCTAGCTCTACTGATACTTCATTTATCACCCAGACTTGTCAAAAGTAGCCCACTCTTGACTACAACAGCATCCTCTGTCGAAAATCCCAATTTATTGTGGTAGCCTTGCTGCTTGTAGAGAGGCTTGGGGAGCAGGTGCAACAAAAAGAGGACTTAAAGCTTCAGTACTCTACCTTGAGACTCACAGTTTAGACCAAAAAAGACCAGAGTTCACGGTTAAAACATTGCGATGTAGGAGTTAGTGCTTGGGACTGTGCAGGGAGGCTGCAAGGGCTCGGCCTCGTGGGGAACAGGATTATTCACCCCGTTGGTTTAGGCGGCAGCCAAACTCAGAAGATTGGGTGTACAAGGTGAACTGTGGAGCGTCAATACGTAAAACAGAATTTCCGTCCTTTCTAGCTGAAATGCCATGGACTGCTCAGTATTTAGAGCGAGGGTTTGAGGTACACGATTTTGGGTTTGTCTTCATTTCAGGGGGGTTACTGGGAGGCTCGAGAGGCAGGCGACTGGAGCTGCTGTCCTGACATATTCTAGTCCCGAATCCTTATTTGGCTTTATGTGCGCTGAAACAGAGGTTTACAGCACAGGATTTAGGGTTTGATTTTATGGATTTCCGGCCATAGTTTGTATCAGCTGTCTTTTTTCACGGTTTATTTGTCTGTACATAACTGTGTCTTGAGGTGTACGTGAAGTGTAGGTACTTACGTACAGATGCACACGTGTGCGCACACGTGCGCCCACAGCGTAGGCAGCATTACATGTGTATAGTTGCGCATACACAGTTGATAATGTAGGCGTGTCTACTAATTATTTTCAATTCGTGGGCGTGTACATGTCTGCAAGCACACAGGCATCTGCATTTATGGGCTATGCGCATATGAAGGAATACGTATATGCGGCAGTAAATATTTACAGCATGCATGTGTAATATGTGTGTTTGTATATATATATATATATATATAATATATATATATATATATGTACAAACATATGTACATGCATGTCCATGCGCTGTAGATAGGTCCATGTGTACAGTTACATATTTACGTGTTCGTAGGCATCTGTACGCTTGTCCATATACACGTATATATCGCTAAGCATATCTTAGCATAGCTCTACGTTTCTGCGTATGTATCAAGTTGTATGCACACATCAAATTTGCGCATTCAAAGAACGTGAAGTTTTCTGACAAAGAAAAAACAGAGGTTGATAGTCTCGATCCGTGGGGGACCTTAACGAGTTGCTGAAGGAGCAGCTGCAGGCACAGCAGCAGCAGCTGGGCATGCTTCTTAGGGCAGCCGTTGGTCAGCTGGATGTAGATCTGATTAACATAAAGTGTGTTTGCATCTGTAGCCACTTCAAACAGTTTCTCGGCAATGCAGACGCCCCAGATAAGCGCAAATGTATGTAGGCGCACATTTTATTCAACTTCAGTCTTGACATAAATCATGCTCTCAAGCACAAAGAACAGCGACTAGAGGCGGCAGTCATGCGCCATAATCCATTTACACAATCGGCTGAAGGAACTGGCAGCTGGCCGGGGGAGCAGAGGGCTCATCGGAGCTCCGTCTGGGGATCCTTATGTGCCTACCTGCGGCGACCTCATATTGCACCTCGCATTTATTGCCTCCGCTTGGCCCATATGTAGACCTTGAAAATACCAAAGATATCGCTGATCACGCTCGTTAGATTGATGCTTTTTGCCGTTTCTGCGGTTATGTATGGAGCACATGCCCTGTCGGTCCCATTGCTGCACGGACGAATAGTTTAATCGGACAGGGCGTCGTACTATTGTTCGCTGTATTTCTTTTTTATCCAAGATGAGAGAGACGGGGTTAAATTGGCGCCTTTTGAAATGCCTTTGTTGCGTTCTTTGCCTAACGCATACTGCCATACTGAAAACTTCGTGAGGCCCATCTCCGTTAGGACGAAGCTACCAGTTGCATTAGGATTAAGCAAATTGAAGATGCAGTTTTCTATAAATTCTGTGGATTCTGTGGTTGTAAGCGAGTAATAAATCGGAGGGTTCTCACTTGGAAGTCTTGCTACTGGGAAGTGCGCATGCAGCTCGACGAGTTGAGCAGCCCTACTTAGTATATGGCCGCATTTCCTTTGCCAATATGTTGAATTCTGCGTTTTATGAATATTTTAAACATTGGAGGATGCATCGGCTTCTCTAATAACTTGGAGACAAGTGTATTTTCTTGTCGAGACGTTGCAGACAACGGCCGAACGCATCCCCTTTCTCTTGTCCATATGAATGACATCGGTGTCGCGTGTACGCATTCCATTCAACGCTTAACTAAGATTCCTGTGATAGCTGTTCCCTAGGCCGCAATTTTTGCTCACGTAGAGTGGTAATTGTGGCAACAGCAGCAGCTGAGGAATAAGGGCTCAGCAGGAACGGCCGAAGAGCAGCTCGGCAGATGATGCGAGGAGAATAAGCACCTGCGCAGCGAGAGATGCAATTTTAATAGCATCAGCAGATCCTTTAGCAACGGCAGAACCAAAAGACAACAACAGCGTTAACAGCAGTAGCGTGAACACATGCAGGGGCGACAGCAGCGGAACGAGCAGCAGCAGTGGTACAAAGACGAGAAAAAGGCGTCTAGCCACAGCAACGGCTAATGAAAAGGCCGCATCAGTTGGCACCGCTCTTCCTGTTGCTCCTGCTGTTGCTACTTCGTGGGGAAGCAGGGATGGCATTCATAATGCGGCATGCGTTGCAGAAGCAGCAGATGCTACTGCAGCGTCATTCAATATCTCTGCGTGGAGCACATAGGCCGTGCCCTCTCGCGGAGAGCCTTTGCAACCCACCAATGGCAGCGTCGCAGCTTCAGCAGGACTGGTTGCTGCAACCGCAGCAAAGTTGCAGGAATGGCATCCCGGCCGCATTCTCTCGTAGGGCACTGAGCGTGACCGCAACCAGCATGTGTGGCAGCAAAAGAAACGCCACCAGGAACACTGACAGCAGAACCAGCAGCAGCACTAGCGACTTCAGCCCCAATTGCCACTTGCGTTTGCTGGACGAAGAGGCACTGCAGCTTTTCCCCTCCGCGGTGCCTTTGGCCTGTACCGAGCTACCTGCTAGAGCCAACTGCAGCAGTAAGCATGACAACACCAGCAGCAGCAATGGGGAGCATGAGACGTGGTATATGATACTGCACGGCATATTGGGTGGGAGGCGCAACTTGCGGAGTTTGGCCGCAAATATTATCTGTGGAAACACAGAAACAACTGCTCAAAGTAGCACCTCCTGTAGCCACCAAAGGGGAGCTCCGCGGGGTCGGCAACGGGCGTTTTGTTTCGATCTAAGGGGCCATGGCTGCAGCGGGAGGGGTGAATTGAAGTTGCATCTGATGGCGAGGGATGTGTACGCCCAAATATACTTGCTGTTAACGGAATTGGCGAAGAAACGACGGGTGGATATCGGCTCGCTGCTGGCAGAGACTGGCAGCGGCGCCAACAGCAAAAACGGTAGCAACAGCGGTGTGCTGCTTCCTCACTGGCCGGGCATTATGCGCGTGCATGCGCTATCCAAAGCCCTTGGCGTCCGTTTAGTGTTGGTTGGCCACAGCTTTGGGGGCATGGTTTGCATGCAGTCAGCTTTAGACACATTGGGACTTCCTGTCTTTGCAGCTGTTGTTGTACTTGACATCGCCCCAAGCCCCTACCTGCTGCAGCCGCACCTGCTGTCACCCGAAGTTGCTTCAAGGGAAAGCACGAGCATATTTATACCATTTGACACAAACAGCAGCACTAAAAGCAGTAGCAGCAAAAGGAGCACAAGCAGCGAGAGCGGCAACAGCAGCAGCAGAATAGCTTGTTGTTTGGACGTGGCTCGTTTGGTACCTCCTCCAAAGGAGGGGGGATACTCTTCCGCTGCTCTTATATCTATCTTGGCTGACATTTCTCTGCCTCTCTTCAGCACGAAAGCTGCTGTAGCCAAGGTGCTGCAGCAACTGCAGCCCCCTATCAACCCCGCAGTGATAAACTGGCTATTGCTATCTCTGTCGACCAATAAGCAGAGAACAGCTGAGCTTGAGCACCTCACTAGACAGCAAACATGCGTATCAGACGGAGCCAGAATCAAACAGGGAGTAGTAATGCCGCATGAAATGCAGCGACAGCAGGACATGCAACAGCTGCAACAGCACCTGGTGGAGAAGCAGTTTGACGACGCCTTATGCTGGCACTTGGACCTTCTGGCCCTCCAGGAACTGGTTGCAACTAATATTAGCATGGGCTTGGCTGCTGCGCCTCTGTCCGTGCACAACCCGGAGCTGACAGCAGCACCAGGGACAGCAACGGCAACAGGAACATCAGCCACAGGGAGCAGACCATCCTACACAGGCCCATGCCTCTTTGTGCGGGGGGCCCTCTCGCCTTGGCTCAACTACAAGCAGCAGCAGCCTTCTATACACCGCCATTTCCCGAAAGCAACCCTGCGCGAGGTGACGCACGCTGGTCACTGGCTGCACGCACAGCAGCCCCAGCAAACAGCAGCCACTATTATGCAGTTCTTAAGGGCGCTTGGCTTGCAGTGAGCACGAGCTACCAACATCAGTACTGGCAGTAAATGTGGCGTTAGTAGTGGCAAAAGCAGCGGAGGAAGTCACACTCGCATGTTGGTGGTTCAGCAAAGGTGCATGAGAGCACGAGCCGCAATGAAGCCATTAATAGGAACAGTACTCACGAGGAAGTACCAGCAGCAAATGCAGTAAGAATACGGCAGCCGCAAAGTGCATTTCATGAGCTCCTACTTGTACTTACTTGTATCTCTGGTGCTGCTGCTGCTCTCTGTCTCATTGTAAAACCCTTTGCTTTTACTTCAAATGCATCTTAATGCGGCAGCTGACGTACAAGCAGGTGTGCTCTGTGCACAGCGCTGCTGCTGCTGCCGCTTACAACACTCTAGACACAAGCCGAAAATACCTCATCTAGCCGCTGCGCAGCTACAATTTTGCACTGAACAACGGTGTTTTTCTGGCAGCTCGATGGGGCCACCCAAATATTTATGAAGCTAATCGGAGCTTGGAGCTTGGTTCTTTGTAGACTCTGGTTCTCAGTGTTTGCCAAACATCGACCTTACACGGGGTTGAGGCATTGACAGCGTCTAGCCACAGCTGCTTGCATTTGCACACAGGGCGGAGAAGGCTGAAAATCTGTAGCAGCGACTTCGTCGCTGTAAAGGGGCCCGGGTTTCTTGAGGCAGCCGCTGCAAGCGTGCAATACTTCGCATTTATGAGCGAATTTTGTACACGTTTCCCGCTGTTATTAAGGTACTTCTGTTTCGCCCTCGTGCGCGTCGCTGTTTAGGATTATTTGGCATCACTTTTATTTCATGCCTTCTACGTCTGCAGTTTGTCCGGCACCATGGTGGATGGCCCGCGCATTGTGTTTTTTCCCAAGACTGGAGATCATAATTTCATTCCTTTGTCGCACCTAAGTTGCTACGCGCTGTTCCTACGGATTGTGAATTGGTACGTACCGCTCTCCGTACCATTGCAGGACAGTTGTTCTGCGTTGTGTGATGAGAAAATTGGCTTTGGATTACAGACGCGACCGGTTGATTTTGTGATATCTTAAACGTTGGTGGGAAAAATGAGGACGATTCTCATGTTTAACTTAAATTGTCTGCTGCTTATTTCAATTTTCATGACCCCTTCAGTTAGTTTTGGCTGGCGCTAGTGTGGCGAAGAAAAAGTTACTGATGCGGACACTGCAGCACCAGCACACATTTCGGCCAGTAATATCTATTTAGCTCTGTTACATAGGTTTTGTCTTGAGTGAATAATATTTTTTTCGAAAGGACTGATACCCATTATACAAAACAGCAAGACACCCACGGCGGCTGGCGTGTTCAGCTCGTAGCTTCACTTCCTGGTGGGTTCATTTGAATTCTATCGAGCAGCTAATTCACAGTTAAGTAGCAAACCTGTAATTTATTTGATGAACTCTACTCAACGAAGCTTAGTCATTAATTGTAGGGTTTCTTCTTTCGTGTTGCTGAATGAAGCGGTTGGAGGACAGCGCCCACCGCTCACGAGACACTTTCGGCGATATACCCCCAGTAATCTGTTCTAATCATTTAATCCTTGCTTCCAAATTGACATTTATGCCAATTTTCGCATGTTTTCAAGGATACAGGGACAGAAAATGCCAGAACCAGTGCAGAGCGCAACGGCCGCCTGCTGCAGCCCGCAGCAGCAGGAACAGCGGGAGCAATAGCAGCAGCCGCTGCTACTGTTCTGCCGCGTTGCTTCTGCATCCTTCTTAGGTGAAGAATTTAGCATTTGGCTTTGTCGACTTAGAATGGACTTTTTATTTTCGTCCTGGGGTTGCCGCTGCTGCAGACACTGAATTCGGCAGCAGCGGCAGCCGCCTCAGCAGCAGATCCGCACGCGGCTGGTGTCCCCCAGTGCTGCATTAACGACGGCTGCAGCATCAGCAGTATCTAGACTCAAATACACACCTTATTTTTCCTTAATTTTAGGTGGGCTGCATTGAGTTCAGCAGCAGCAGCTGTAGGAGCAGCTGCGGCAGCAGCTCCTTTGTGCGGCTCCAGTCCAGACCAGCAACTCGCATCTGTCGCCTTCGAGTCTAGGCGCAGAGCAGCAGCCGTCATGAGAAGTAGGACAATACTCAGGCGCAGCAGCGCCTCGCTGCTGCTGCCTACGCAGGAGCAGCTGCAACACCTCACAGAAACCCAGCAGCAGCAGCGGCTGCAGCAGCATAGGCGCAGCAGCAGTTTGAGCGTCCCTTTGCTGGGCACTCACGCAAAGTCTGCAAATCTTCAGCTGTGGGAGCAGCTACAGTGGCAACAGCAGCAGGGGCTGCAGCGGCAGGGACTGCAGCGTCAGGGGCAGCAGCTTTCGGATCAGTGGCAGCAGCAGATCCCGCTCCAGCAGTGGGGACAACAGCAAACTTGGCAGTGGCAATCTCAGCCTAATCTTCTGCAGCAGCAGCCACAGCCTGCTGCAACATCTGCGGCGGGAGCGGTGCCTGCTACCGTGGCTCCTATCAGCAGCAACACGCTTTTACGGCCTAAGGAGCTTCTAGAGTCCCACTGGCAGGATGTGCAGGCAGCAGCAGGAGCTGCCGCCCCTGTGAGCCCAGCCGTGTTTTCAACGGCAGAAGTACCTGCGCCTCTCTCCCGCCGAGCAACAGCAGCAGCAGTTGCTCCAGCAACGCCAGTGACAGTTCCGTGTTCCATGGACTGGGACCCGCTGCTGCTGCAGCAGCTGTGGCGAGCCGCGGCATACAACGAGCAGCAGCTAGATTATGTCGCTGCTCTCTTTGGCCGATTGCATGCGGTAGATCAACTACTGCGACCACCTACTACTGCTGCTCTCACACCTACAACAGCAGCAGTTGCAGCTGCTGCGGCGCCAACCACAGCTACCATCAGTGCAGCGGAGCTCGGCATGTTTTGGGTAGCCTACGCAGCAATGGAAGACGCTCCGTACTGTTGCTGCGAGGCCTCAACCCGGAGTAGTAGCAGCAGCAGCAGCAGGTGCTGCCTGGAGCGGCTGGGGCGTGTGGCTGCAGGCGGAGAAGGGAGGGTGGGGTTGTTATGTTTCACTCGTCTGGTGGCTCTATTGGACTGCCAAACATCCAACGAAGCTGCAGCGGCGGCAACGCTGCGGCTGCGGCTCATCTTCTCTTATTTCGCCGATGACTCACTGTTTGTGTATCAGCAGCAGCAGCAACAGCAGGGGATAAGCAGGAAGCGGGTGCCTGTGTGGAGTGACAAGAGTTACAGGGCGTTCAGGCTGGCCATGTGCCGCTCTAAGGCTGTGGACCGTAAATGCCAAACCCTAAACTCCATTAATAAACTTTGAAGTATTTCCGCGTGCCCCCCACCTTTGGTTGCTACGCCTTACACCTAATCTTCACCTAGCCGTAAAACCTAAAATATACAGCGCTCATACAGTAACTACGCAAGGGTTAAGGCTTCAACGTTCGGTGCTTCTGCTTAAGTGCCTGTTTGTGTTTGCCTCAGCGGCAAAATCTGGTTCCCTGCCTGCCTCTCTTGCGGACTGCCTGACCGCGCTGAGGTGCACGCACACTCCAATGCTGCTGGAGGCTCAGTTCTTTGCCTTGGTTCATGCAAACATTATATCGTAAGAAACGCAGTGACTGGTTTTTCTTAAAATGTGGCGTTCCCAGTCTAAGGTTAAGGGCTGAGAAACTGTACTGCAGGTCTAGGTTTCGACTAGGCGACCGAGCTTAAAGACTTGACTTTCAGAAATAAAAGCTTGAGTTAGAGGTTCAGAGCTTGGCAGAAGGTCTCAGGATCAGTCAAGCAAGCGTAACTCTTAAATTTTATTTTCAAGGGGACCCACAACAAGGGGTTAACGATTTATTTTTTAGGGTCATAATTTCCAAGGTGTACTGATGTCTGCAGGGGCACCTCTCGCTTCTTGAGAATATGTTTGTTTGGCGGAGGTGCTGATACACCTGAGCCGCTGTTTGGGTTGGACGCGCTGCCCTATCCCCCGACAGTAGTCAGAACTACAATCTTGCCTCCCGCCGCTCCCACTGCTGATGCTCCTGCTGCCGCCGCTGCTGCTCGTCGTCCTGCTGAAGCTCCGAGTGTTGCTGCTGCAGCGCCTTATATTACTCCGGCATTTGTTGCGTCCTCCGGTCATGCACGAGAAACTCCATTACACCTCCTGCAGCAGCAGCAGCTGCAGCAGCTCCATCTGCAGCAGCAGCTGATGCAGAGGACGAGCCTCAAGCGGGTCGCTATATCTTCTACGCTGCAGCGTGAGCAGCCATTACAGCAGCAGCCGCTGCCGCTACAGCAGCTCGAGGCCCAGGGACCGCAGCTACTGCAGCAGCACGAACAGCAAGATTGGTCTGCGGATCAGCTGCTATTGCAAGCTCGCGTCTCACCATCACAATACTTTTCTCCAGAGCAACATCAACAGAAACAGCAACACTTACACCAGAAACAGCATCAACTACAGCCGCAGCGGCAACAGCACACTTACTACCAGCTGCCTGATCAAGCAGGGCAGTCGCTTGCCGGTATATGCGTCAGCAACAGCACCATGGACCGGCATTTATTGCTTAACTCTACTGCAACAAACAGCAACAACAACACCAGCAACGCCCTGCACGAGGGGTACAGCTCCTTGCTACAGCACTCGTTGCACGTGCGGCAGCAACCAGCACACCAGCATTTGTTCCAATTGGCTCAAGAGCATCTCAGGACGGACTACGAAGCGGAGCAAGAGGTGCTGCGACTGCAACTATTACAGCAGCAGCAACAACAGCAACAGGAAATTCAGGGGAGCCTCAGGATACCGTCCGAGACAGAACAGATGACGCGTCAGTCGCCAGTCTTGATGCAGCCCCAGCAACAACAGCTGCAGTCTCTACGGCAGCATCAGCAGCAAGTGTGGCCCTATTTAGATGGCCCACTTTGCCATGGCACTAGTGAGGCGGTTGAGTTGTTTCTACAGCAGCTGCAACAGCAACAGCAACAGCAGCTCCTCCAGCAACAAAAACAACAGTTGCAGCTGCAGGAGGAGCCGCAGGAATCTGTGAGGTCACCCCCGCAGCTGCTTCCTCAACTGCCACAACTGCAGCTCAACCAGCAACAGTCTCTGCGGCTTCAGAAGTCGTTGCCAGAGCAACAGCAAAACCTCCAGCGGCTGGAGCAGCAGCAGCAACAGCAAGGCTCTCAGGAGTTACTGGGCTCTTTAACCCTCCCAGTTAGAAGGTCTCCTCCTGCTGTATGTAGGGGAGAGGGCTTGCAACTAGGACGAGGAGTGGCAGCTCCTGCAGCACCGACGGCAGAAGCACCCCCAGTAGCACCGGTAACAGCAGCAACACCTGCTCCAGCACTAGTAGAGACAGCTTCCGAGATGCCTGCAGCAGCTGGTTCATCACCAGCAGCAAGCGGCATCCCGTCGCTGTCCCTCGCTATTCAGCGGCCTGAGCCTCCACCACCACCTCAGCTGCAGCAACAGCAGCAAGAACAGCAGCAGCACCACCAGAGACAGCACGCAGATTGGAGCAGTAATACACGACGCGCGGTGCTGCTTCCTGTTGAATCCCTTGGCTCTGCGTCTCTTACCTCTTCAGTACCTCATACTGCAGCGACCGCAACTACAGCTGCGGGAGCAACAGCAAGAGGTGACGTAGGTAGCCCAGGCCCTCATGCTGCTGCTCCCCCAAGGCGGCTGCTCCTGCGTGCCCAGAGCAGTAGCAGCACCGCCTCCATCAGCCTGCAAGAGCCTCAGCAGCAGAGTCCCCCAAGGGTTGCTAGGGGAGGCAATAGCAGTAGCAGCGCAGGCAGCAGCATCGTTAATCGCAATAACAAAAGTGACAATCCTCCCAAACTCGCTGGTCCTGCATCAGCTTTGTTGCAAGCCCCAACGGTGCCCCCCGCAGCAGCAGCAGCAGCGCATGATACGGGCAGTGCTCTTGCACTGCCTCCCGTGTCTCAAGTAGCGCAAAAATCGGAGACGGCGCCGGCAGCAGTTGCTGCACCAGCAAGAGAGTGCACACCAGCTGCAGCAGGGGAGATGCTTGAGAAGTCGATGCCGAAACCTCTGCTCATCGACCACCAGCCATCAACAGCGGCGTGCAGCAGAGATACTAGTGATAACAGCAACAGCAACGGGAGTACAAACAGCAACAGCAATAGTATGGCAGTGCTGCCACTATTTCAACCTCAGCCATTGCTGCGCCGCAGCCGCGTGAGCGATCCCCCGGCGTCTCCGGTCGCGGTTGCTGCCGGAGCAGTAGAACGCAGCAGCAGCAACATCAAAGGCAACAGAAGCAGTAACAATGACGGCAACAGTGGCGGGGGTTTCAGCAATAATAGCACCAGCAGTAGCAGCGGAGGCGAAATGAGAAATACGAACCAAAACGAGAACTGCGCGATTACTGACAGTGCTAGCAGCAGCAACAGCAGCAGTAGGAGCGGCGTCAGCCGGCGGCTGATCCAATCCCTCATGTCGCCACTGCATAGCTCTGGAGAAGGCAAGTGCATCAATAAGAGCAGCAGCAGCAACAAAATCAGGAGCAATCAGGAGTATAAAGCAGCCTCCGCGTGCATGCAACCCAAGCAGCATTCTTCCCATTCATCTGGCGGCAACAGCGCTGACAGCGACAACGGCCGTAGTAGCAACAGCAGTGACACCACCAGAAACAAATCTATAAGGCCTCGCCACGACCTTCTGGCTGCTATTCAGAGGGAGTGTTGCGAGGACTCTGAACTGCTGCGGCTGCGGCAGCAGCAGCTGCAGCAGCAGCAGACACCCAAGGATGGCGGGGGTGCAACAGCGGCGAAGCCAGCAGCAAAAACAACAACAGAAACAGAGCAGGTAGCTGAATGTCTCCTCCGGGAACCGTGCGCGCTATCCCCTCCCTTGAGGCCTCATGGTCCGGCATCGAGGCAGCAAGATTCCCACCTGAAGCCACTGCAGCTCGCAGCAGCAGCGGCAGCAGCAGCAGCAGTTGCGAAGCCACGACAAAGCACAAGGATACCCTTCGGGTCCCCGGAGCAGTTGACAACAAGTCAAAGACACCAGCGGCAGCAATGGCAGGAGCAGACCGCTGCTTCAGCGACGACGGAACAGCAGCAGGAAGTCCAAGAGACACCTGTTGGGTCTCCTCGAGGAAGGGTAGCAGCAGCATCTCCAGGATCCACAAAAGCAATATCTTTTCATGAGGAGTTGAGGCAGCGCCTTCTGCAGCGAGGTGGTCCCCTCGAGCAGCAACAGCAGAAGCAGAAGCAGCAGCTTGTCCTGAGGCATAGTGCTGCGTCGCCGCCCGTCTTCGGGCTCCCTAGGGGACCATGTGCTGCTGCTGTTGCTACTGCTGCAACTGGAGCAGCAACAAGTGAGCAGCAGCAACAACTGCGGCAAGCAGAAGCAAAGACCGATGAGTTCTCAGGAGCTGGAACGAAAATAGCAGCTGCAACAACGGCAGCGGCAGCGCTGCCTACTGACAAGCTGCCCCAAGTGATGCTCCAGCAGCGGCAGCAGTCGAGGAAAATACAGGACCAGCAACAGCAGCAGCAGCAAAAGCATCCTGTCCCGAATCTTGGGGGTTCAGGTTCTTCAGGGGCAAAGCCAGAAACAACCGAAGCCGCAGAAGCAACAGCACTTGACCCGCCCAAAGAGGCTGATGCTTGGACCACTAGTGCTGATATCCCACGCGTTGGCTTCAGCGTCTTCGCCCCTCGTAAGCAGCTCACTTGTTATGACCCTCTCGCCTCTGCTGCCGCTGTTGCTGCCGCTGCCGCTGCCGCACAGGGAGCTGCGGCCGTGCAGCCTCTTGTGGCCGCGGCAGCTGCAGCTGCTGCTGCAGAAGCAGCAGAAGCAGCAGGCCTTGGAACAGCAGAAGAAACAGCTGAGAGAGCAGCACGACTCGCAAGAACTGCTGTTGATGTTGCTGCAGCAGCAGCAGCAGAGGCTGCAGACATAAAGGACCCAGAGGCAGCAGCGTCAGCAGCAGCCGCAGCTGCTGCTGCAGCAGACCCAAGTTGCAGCGATGCCGAGGGAGAAGAGCATCTGCTGCTTTTCTACACTAGGCAGCAGCAGCTGCCTTGTGGGATAGGTTCAACTGCAGCTGAAGCAGCGGCAGCAGCAGCAGCAGGAGCATCAGCAGCAGCAGATAATAGGGGACTCACTGGCTCTACAGAAGTCTCTGCTCCCAGCAGAAGCAGTAGCAGTGGCCGCACTTGCACCAGGAAGACTGCACCTGAACGTAGCAGCAACAGCAGCAGCAGCAGGGACAGCAGCGGCGGCAGCGGAAACTGTAGCAACAGCCTTGATGCTCTTGCACTCAGCTCCTCTCATGGAGTTTCCCCTATACTGGGGTCAAGCACTCCACTCACTTAACTGCACACAACGTTTTAGCTCGCTGCTAGGCATAACCAAGTTGTTGCTGTTTGCTCCACCTCCGCTGGCTCCGTCCCTGCCTCGCTAGCTAGCCGGCGGCTGTCCAGACAAGCTTGCATCTCTGCATATCGAACTGAAAAAGTGTCTCGCAACTAGCTATCTGGCTAGCCGGTCCAGGTAGCTGGACCCACTTTGCCGGACGGGTCATTTTGTCTTGCTTGTCAGAGTTCTAGTAACTTATTCGAATTGTCCCTTGTGGGCTGGCTTCGAGCTATTTTGGGTCGGTAGTCACTTCAGCAGCTACTAGTAGCCAGCTTCTCCTGTGGTAGCTACTCAGTTAAAAGTTACTGTCCTAGTTGGGTCTGGCGCAGTAAAGCTATGCACCCGTAGATACGACTCAATAGGTTCCGCCAATAAGTTGCTAGAATATCAAGTCACCTCACTATCTGAAGGAGCTGCTTTGTGCTGTGCTGCCGTTATTCCTGGTGCCGCTGCTGCCCTTGCATGCACATCAAGCACCATAGAAGAGGCACTAACCACGTGTTGTAAATTCTCACGCTCGTCCAATTGTGAATATTTAGCGTCCACAAAGTATATAAATTAATGCAGTATCTCTTATTCACCATGTTGGATTGCATGACTGGGGAATTATTAATAAGCCGCAAATGCCCTTTCATCGACCATAAGCAGCTTTGACACCGCGGATATCCTCAGCTAGTGACGGCCTGGGTACAGATACAAGAGGTATCAGAAAAGGGTGTAAAATTAAGTTTTACGCCTCCATAGTGTAGGATTCCGTGAATAACATGCAGTACACCCGAACGCGTCGGCAGTGCTTGACCGAATCGACGTCCGAAAAGGCAGCAGTATTTGATGTTGCCGTTTCTGTTGCAACTGCTGCTAATTTCTGTGTCAATATTAAATGAAAAAGCGAGTATGTGCAGGCAAATTTTCTTATCAATCTAATCTATTGCAGCCGCAGCAGCCACAGCAACGGCGGTCCATATTAGCAGCAACAGCAGCAACAAAAGCAAGTCGGCAGCAACTAGCCAATGGTAGATTGTGTCCGTGTTCCACGATTTTTGTCCTTTTTAGTCATTCTTGGCTCTTCCCTTTTTGAGTTCTCCACGAAGCACTAAACCGTAAGCCTTCAGCAGCAAACCGTAGAGCTTAAACCCTCATCCCAAAGGCGCGCCGCCGCAGCTGGCGCCGTCGATCGCCCTTCGTCTGAGTTCGTGTTCCCATTTCAGCCGGTCACATTAGTTCGTATCCTCTTGCCATTTTTTTCTCTATTTTAAATACAACGGCAGAAACTAGACTCTATACCCCAAGCAAGGCATAGAGCAACACAAACCAACTGCCGCTGCCGACCGGCGCAGCTACCCGGTGAGACAGGCATCCTTGCAAGGGCCGACTTACTGAACGCTAAATCTGATTCCAGCAACCGCAGATCCCAAAATGCTGGGCACGTCCATTGATTCGCCTCAAAGGGTGAGGCCTGCACAGCTGCGGCGTAGTAAGCCGCAGCAGCAACAGCAGCAGCAGCGACGGCTGCCCCCAAAGCAACAACAACACGCGTTATTTGTACAGACGCGAAAACAAGCAGCAGAAGCCGCAGCAGCAGCTGTTGCGGCATCTGCGTCAGGAGTCCGCGGCCTGCTCAACAGGTCGGACTCAGCAGCATCAGCAACATCAGCAGCAACAGGAACAAGCGGGGTGGCAAAAAGAGGAAAGCTTGTTGCAGTAACAACCTACTCTGGAACCCTCGATGACTATTTGCTACTGCACTCGACAGACGGTAGTAGCAATGGCAGCAGCAGCAGCTGCGCTGCTTCCCCCTTGAGAGGCAGCAGTGAAGAGGAGCTAAGGGGCAGCAGCATCCCATGGAACCCGAAGCAGCTGCAGCAGGCGCAACAGGTGAATGAGAGAGACTCTCGCCGGGTAAGCGACAGCTGCAATGAGGACGCCAAGCAGCAGCAGCAGGTGGAGGCTTCCTCCCGCGAGTCAAGCGACACACAGCAGCAGCAACAACCTTCGACTCGTTCCCAGTCCCAAAACGATGAAGAAGAACAGCAAGAACACGAGCAGCAGCAGCAGCAGCAGACTAGCAGCAGCAAAGACGGGGGGCGCCTCATCGTGCCCCCAGCTGTACGTACACCCGAAGGCGGAGAGCGCCGCCACTGGCCCTCTATGACCCTGTCACTGCTGCCTCACTTGTCTGATCTCCACGAGTTTCCTCGCATTGCTACTTTTGCCCAAAATGCTTCTGAACTGAAGAAGCTAGCTGAGGCACCGTTTGAAGCAATCAGTCCTGCCGCTGCTGCTCTCAAACTGCAGCAGCAACAGAGGCAGCAGTCACGCCAGAAGCTGCCAGTGCACTGGACTCTAGCCGACGGGCTGCGGAGCCTGTGCAAAATGTATGCTTGTACACTGTCTATGCACTGCTCTGCTGCTTGTGTGATATCCTTTTGTTGGCTTTTTTACTGTTATCGGTACTGTTGTTGCTGTCATGTTTTTGCTTCTGCTGCTCCAACAATATCTGAAATGATGCGCGTTGTTAATTTGCTTAAATTTTTCTTTGCTGCTGCTGCTGTTGCTGCATGTTTGTGTGCGGTGCCTTTGCCGCCACGTATGCCTGCTGAAGGTCATGCACCTTTTGCATTTATTCTTGACGTTGCGGCTGATTTCCCCGCAGTAAGAAGCCGGAGCAAGCCTCTTTGCCACCTATCAAACTACCGGTTCACTTCCCGAACGAGACTTCACCATCGGCAGGAGCAGCAGAAGCCTCGGAAGCAGCAGCAGAAAGAGCAGTTCCGGCAAATGGGACGGCAAGCGGCTGCAGCAGCAACTGCAGCAGACAGAACAGCAACTTGGAACAGCCAAGCAGAGGGAGCAGTAACAGTAGCGGGTCATCTGCCGAGGGTCCCTTTGCAGAAAAGGTTTCTGTACACTTGAAGAATGGAGGGCAAGGGCGAGTAGTGGCCGTCACCCCCACGAACAACCTAGTGGTGAAACTTCAGGTAACAAAATTTGGAGCTGTGTTCAAGGAACCATGGTTTGCTGGGAGTGTTTGGAATAGTTCTGGAGGCTAGAGTGTAGAGCCAGTGGCCAAGGGTCTACGGTTCAGAGCCAGACGCACCGTGCTGAAGACACGAGTCACCCTTTAGGATGTAAGCGGGAGGGATTGGGGTTTAAAGAATATATTTCAAAATATGTCATTATTCTTCAGAATGGGACGCATGTCGAGGCCCACCCATCTGAGTGTCGCTTCCTAATCGGTGGCATGCAGCTACCCCAGGCGCAGCCGCAACTGGAGGAGCAGCAACAGCAACAAGAGCTGGCGCACAAGCAGCAGCAACTACAGCAGCAGCAGCAACGAGAGGGGCAGTTTAAACTCTTGCCCAACCTGAGAGGGGTAGAGACAATCCCAACTGTCTCTGAGTTGCTGCAGAAGGCAGCCGCAGAAGCGGGAAGGACTCACAACACTGTTGTTCTTTCCAGCGTACGCACACCTTGGATGAATCATCGGCCCTCACTCCTAACGCCTTAACTGCAGCAACACCTGAACACTGCCAGGCAGCTACTTCTAGATAGCCCGTGCAAACTTTGCTGCTGCGACGGCATCTTTGGTGCTGGTGCTGCTATCGTCGGTATGCTTTAATGCTGCTGTTTTTATGGCCTGTTAATCTGCTGTTGGCGCTGCAGTTGGCTTCTGTAGCTCGCGTGTGCAAGACAGGGGAGTCTCTTTCAGTTTTAAAAGTAACAAAGAAGACATCAGAAGGAAACAAAGAGCAGAAAGAAGAGTTCCAGGCCATTTTCTCCACAGAAAATGGCAGAGAACCTTCCGTAAATGCCTTGGTCAGCAGCACCGAATACTGGCACGAGAACGTTTTAATGATGGGACTAGGAAACATAGGGGCTCGTAACCTCTTACTGAGGTGACGCAAAGCTAGTATTTGGTATTTGGTTACTTAGGGTTTAGGTTTTAGGGTTTCGATGTTGCGTGCAGGAAGAAGAGCTTTCAGACTTGCCTGAGGCTGTCATTCGCCCTCCTGGTATTTGCATGTTGACAGGACGGAAAAGTCAAGTAGAAAGCAGACAAATCATCAAGCCTCAAACAAGCACTTACGATGTTGTTAAGGCACCAGGGATCGTCAGACCCTTATACGGTAAGCCCTATGCCACAAAATTTGGACGCTTCACGATGCAGACAGGCAAGGGATGTCGCGAAATCCGCTGCCTCCTGGATAGTAACAGTATGAAGAGCGTAATCGCTTGAGAGCGTCTGGGGAAGGGCTAACTTGTAGTCTTTCGTCTGTCTGCAGATATAATAAGCCCCGCATCACAAATTCCTTCGGCTCTGCCCCGGAACCAGCAGCAGCAGCAGCAGCAGCCGCAGCGACAGCAACAGCAACAAAAACAGCAACAGCAACAGCAACAGCAGCCGCCCAGTGCCTTCATTCCGGAGACTCCTGAGCTAGCCCAGCTAGCTGCGCTAGCGGGGCCTGGAGGAGGCTTCGCAGCAGCAGCGGCAGCGGAGCTGGAGCTAGTGGGGCAGAAATGGTTTGGAGATTTGCAGCAGCAGCTTAGTAGAGACATGATGCAACAATACATCAACACGGCGCCACCTGGTGAGACAGAAATAAACAAGGACACGTACTAATGCACACATGAGCGTAGGCACGGACAGGCACTTCCATACACAACGGCACCGACAGATAGAAGGCGGTAACGTCTTGCTCGTAAGCTTGCATGCTAATCCATGTATCCTTCTTTTCTGCTTTGTGGTGTCGTTTAGCCATAGGTGGTTTCTCTGCCCCTTCGCAGCGTTCATTTGGGCCTCTCATATTTTCGTCCTCAAACGGAAACAGAAAAACGGGAAGAGTGATCAGAAGCGAAGAAGACGCCATTACCTACGCAACACCGGCGAATCAACAGTCCCGATTCAGCACAAACACTGGCGAGCTAGCTCTGTAGCTAGCTACCCAGCTAGCGAGCTA